CAGGCCCCTCTCCACCAGCCCTGAGAGCTATGAGAGCATGAGATGTCCCGCCATGACACCTGCCACCTCCAGAGCCAGGCCACCATGCTGGGCCATGTCCCTGCGCCAAGGCACCACATCCAAGAGAGGGGCTGTGGGCTTTGCACACCCTTCGGGATGAGCCTATTGGCTGGAAAGCCAGCCTCTCATGCGGGTTTGCACGTTCGCTGCCCACATTCTCCGTTACCAGGACTTTGTTTAAATAACATGTATCGTGCCTTCCTCACCAATAAGACATAATCAAAGATAAAACACAGTGGGAAAGTAGAGAAGAAAGAAGTCTATGCTTTGCAGGATTAAAGTGTGGTCAATAGCTTATCTTTCCCAGAATGATTTTCTCTTAAACATGAATAAGAAAAAATGAATGAGATAATCAGGTATTTCTGTAAATATGACATTTAGTATTTTCTAACAAGAAAGAAAATCACCCCTGTCCAAAGTCATCACAAGTTGTCTACCTGTTTGGTGTGCATGTGTGTCTGTGTGTACATGTGCATGTGTGTGTGGTGTGTGCGTGGTGTATAGTGCACACACATTAACACACTTGCTATTACTGTGTCACATAAAAAGAGAGCTGATACACTTTCCAGATTAAACTAATAATTTTGTCTATTAATCTCAAAAGAATTTCTTAAACTTTTTCAAACCATTTAGATAATATTTACGTGTAAGCCACCCATATTATGAGATTGTTCAAAAAAAATTTACATCAACTTTGAAAGTTCTACTGCACATCGAAGAACAATTTTGTTCATTCCAGAACTAAAACAAAATTCAATCAATCCCATCATGATAATGTCTCATGGCAAAATAAGTCTGCAATGACCTTTGCTCATGGTGTCACAGGAATACAATGCTAAGACATGGAAGATTGAAGGTATTTTTAATGAACCTAAGGCAAGCGGATAAAATACCAATTTAAAATAATTTTTAGAGTAAGTGCAGTTTATAAAGACCATCTATAAAGAGCAATAGAACATTTATAAATAAAATGAATAATTTATACCACCCCAAATATCATCAGATTCACAAATGGGAGAAACAAAATAATTTTTGAAAGAGTTTTTGTAAAAAGAAGGCTTCATTCCCAAAGAAAAACAGTCCAGCGTATCAGGAGAAAAGTCCGTAACTCTCTGACTGATAGAATCTCCTGCAAATAGCCCCTATCCAAGACTGGGGTAGGAGCAGACAGCCCTCTGCAGATGTCCGAAGGGGCCACCACATTTAGCAGCAGGTCACCATCCCTGTCTGTGTTGAGAGTGACCAGTGAGCACCCGAGGTCACCGCTCCTCACTCGGTTCCCAATTCTTGCTGTGGGCACTGGAGTCAGCCCTAAATGAGGTCACCTCCTTGCTGGTTTTGAGTCTGTGGTGTAATGTGCTCTAGGAGAAGTCCTTCTTCTGGGGACCCCGGGGCCAGTGGCGGGACCCCAAGCAGCCCCCACACTACTGCGCCCATCAGTCGGGGTCAGGGCTGAACCTCAAGGCCATGCTGGCCTTCAGATGGCCCTCCTACCTCGGCCAGTGGCATGTCCAATCTTGTCTCTCCTTCCTAAGCTGTTCACTCTGCAGGCCTGTGCGTGGAGCACCCCAACATCGCCCTCAAAACCTGCCAAAGACTGGCCATAGCCCCATTGGACACTCAGGTGTAGTCGCCTTGGACTCTGAGGCAAAAGAATTTCAAGGTGGACAGCAGTATAATCAAAACAATTCCTACCCACCTTCCAGGTCCAAATGTGGTTTTGAGATGGAATTGTCATGAAAATATTCATCGTTCTTTGCGGTTGTGTTACCAAAAGAGAAAAATGAGGATCAAGCATACCTAGTGAGTAAGGAACAGGTGGGGCTGGGCAGCGAGAGATGGGTAAGCGGCGACAGGACCAGGCTACCAGAAATCCCTGATGTGGAGAAATGCCAGAGACAAGGGAACATAAGGAGACCCCCTCCTAGGTCTTAAATGTCATAGATGAGATATTTTCATGATAGTTACAAATTGACCACTGAAAGTAACCAAAGGAGACAGTGATCACGGTGTTATCGGTGGTGACCTCAAGAAGACTTAAGTTCCCTAGTCAGTTTTCTGTAAAAGACCAGCCGTAAAAGCCCACAGTGGCCACCCATTCGGGACCCTGCTCACTCTAGAGAGCTTTTTTCTTTCGTTTCTGTTCTCGCCTTCACTTAATAAACTTTCACTTCACTTCACCCTTATGTGTCAGCGAGATTCATTCTTCAGCTCCGTGAGACAAGAACCCTGCAATCCCACAACACTAGGAGGGTACAAAAGTCCTGCCAGGAAGGGCTCCTGACGTCCATCCAGCCCTGGAGTCTGCATCTGGAGGATCCCAGGGCCCTGGTGCCCTATCAGCGGCATACTCGCTGGTGGCACACGGGACGAGTCAAACCCGCTGAGCTTGGAATTCTCCTGTTGCTCAGGAGCCTTCTCCGTCTCTAAACTTCATATCCTTCATTAATTAAGATTACAACCTGCTGTTCAAATAGTTTGATGTTTCCTAGGTGAGCAAACCCCACCAGACTCCTGCACTTCACAGTTTCTACTCCCATGTAAGCAGATGGAGCTGAAATATTTTTCAATAAAAATCTTGCAGACGGCGTCCTCGTAGTGCCATAGCAGGTATTTCTACGAGGGGGAAAACCTATAATTATACAGCATATGAATTTAGAAATAGGAAAACATTGTGGGGGGCTCCTTAATTTAGAAATAAATTTAAATCCAAGGCAATAATTAGTTCTTTCCCAAACCCTCAGCCTTTAGATTGACAGCTGATGTACAGTCATGTAATAAACATTGCCTTTCTCTCTACCAGAGAGAAAAAAAAGCCAAGATACTGGTAAAACTATTCACAGATCAGCAAATAATACCGAGTTAAGATGTTTTGTTTTGTTTTTTTTCCAGTTTTGTGATTCTCCCAGAGAATAAGTCCATGATGTTCAACTCAACACGGGCAACGCGGAAATGCACACCAACAGAGCGCCGTGTGATCCCCGGAATCAAGTGTGTGCACGAGACATTGTCCTCAGCGTCCGACCTCCTTGCTATGTGCTTCCACACTTCTCTGGGGAAGCCTGAGCTGATGTTCACCTGACCACCATTCATGGCACCCAACGCTAAGCAGGCAGGCTAGGTGCCCCGCGGGCACTGCCACCATTTACTGGAGGCACGATCATGTGACTCCCAAACCCAGAGGTTTGGGCAGACCCAGCTTCTGCCCACATGAGTTCTGCTGTTGCCCGGGTTCACAGCCTTACACCAACAGGATGGCCCCGCAGTGCTGACTCGCTTCGCTCTGCTCTGAATCCAACCACAACTGACCTTTAAACTGGATTGCTCTTCGAAAAGCAACAGCAAAGCTCTAAGCCAAGGGAGGGATGCTTTTTCTAAAAGAAAACTTTAAAGGCGTAAGTTAGAGAATTCTCCCTCCATTTGAAAACTACCTCCTATGTTCCACATGACAGGCATAGAGAGCGAGCTTTGCCAAGGTCTGTCTATTTTAAACGTAGGCTCTTTTTCTGTTTTCTGTTTTTTTTTTTTTTTGAGATAGCAATTGTATTAGCACACTAGAAGTCATCGACTCCGGTGCCACGATTTCACCTCAAAGTTGTCAGGGTTTTTTGCTTGGTTTTGTTTTTTCTTTTTGTTTTGGCTCCTGGTTATATAATTTAAAGACGGACCACAGGAAGGATATTCACTTTCTTTTATAAAAAACTCAAGCAGACATGCATGTTTTATGCCGATCTTCATCCCTTCTGTAAAACAAATGAATCCATTTTCAGAAGGTAAGATGAAGATTGAGTAGAAAGCAGCCTCCATCGGATGAGAGGCCCCATTTTTAACAGTGAGGATCACATTCCTTTGTCAGTCCTGTTTAGACAGTTACAGATCATCCACAGTTAACTGCTTCTTTTAATATTTTGGTCCCCACACTGCCAAGACACAACATTTCACCTGAGGATGTGTCTGCTGAATTTCTAAACTGAATCTGTAGCCAATCCGTGGAGGCTAGATGCCCTGCAGGCTTCTCAGCATGCTTGACGGCACAGTGGAGATACTGTGTGCGTCTCATTGCTTTTTAAACACATAGCCATGCCTTGGAGTGACCTGACAAATCATAGAGCTCCCACCCCTTCCCCCTGTCTGGCAGATGTCTGCCGGCCACAGGGCCCAGGGACAGCTCACTACTGTCCAACAGGCAGGAAGACATGAGTATGGGGCAGGCCCGTGGACGGGAGCTGCGTGCTGGCTCTTTAAACATCATAAAATGTTTGTATAAGGGAGGAATTTTATGGACCACATTGGGCATGATTGTATAATTCTTTGTGTTGGAGGAAAAACCTCCTTTCCAGCAGGCAGCTCCAGGCCCCGTGCTCAGCCCCTTTCAGCCTATTTAAAGGGAAGGCTACAGCCCCAGGGAAAAACAGTCCTAAATTCTCCTCTGCTGCTGTGAACCAAAACCCTCAGGTAGGGAAGGAAAGGCAGACACACCAGAGAAAACCTTGCTGGGTAGGAAGTACAAGCGGCTTACATAAAGCAAGGCAGCGTTTGGCCTGCATGCTAGAAGCCGCGGGAACCGAACCACCCACCCTGCCTCTTGGGGCAGACACAGCAGAAGTAGTCACACCGCCTGCATTTCTCGGGGCAGGGCTGTCCGGTCCTTCCAAGTGTGTTCACTGCGTCGGCCTGATGCCCACTTCCCAGGGACAGGGGCCCATGCCCTGAGGACCACTGGCCGGACACATGGCACAGCCAGTGGCCAGGGGAGTGGAGCCAAAGAGAAAGCAGGCCAGAGTGAGGTCACCCATGGCAAAGCTTTTCCCCACGGGTGCGCAGCGGGCGCGTCCGCAAAGCCCCATCCCCGCGGCCCCGTGAGCCGGCCGAGAAGGAGCGCGCGCCTCCCGGCCTCCGCGGCGACCCACCCTTCGGCCCGCGTCCGCACCCGCACCCACCTTGACGACGTAGGTGACTCCGGCCCCCAGCACCTGGTCGCTGGCGTGCGGGGCGCGCGGCGGCGGCTGATCGCCGGGCCGGCCCTTCCTGGCGGCGCGCATGGCCGGGGCGCCGGGGCCGGGGGGCGCGCTGCCGTCCGGGGCGGCCAGGCTGGGCGCGCTGCAGCTGCCCGAGAGCCGCGCGCCCGCCCGCGCCCTGGCCGCCGAGCGCCCGCGGAGGCCCGAGCTGGAGAGTTTCAGGTGGGACACCTTGTGGAGCAGGTGGCCCAGGCTGCCCGGCCCATCGTCGGGCGCCCTGCGCAGCGCGTCTCCGGACACCAGGTAGGGGGCCGCCGCCGGGGCCGCGCGCGCCGCCGAGACCTTGCCGCCGCCGCTCACCGACAGGTTGTGCAGAAGGTCGTCGACCGATGTCACCGAGTCATTCCTGAAGCGGTTGTACTTGGTGCGTGGAAGCATGCCCCTCCGTGGGCTGACCGCATCCGCCCGGGCGCTGCAGGGGCGAGCGCGGCCCGGGGGGACGCGGCGGCCGGGACAGCGGGGGACAGCGGCGCCGCCTCCCCGCTAGCGGCCCGCGCCGCCGCGGCCGCGCAGCCCCGGCCCCGCGCTCGGCTGCGGAGGGCTGCACGCTCGCGCCGCTCCAGGCATCGCTTCCGAAGGGGAGCGCCCAGCGGCTCCGGCTGCGCACAGCGAGAGCGTGACTCACTCCAGAGGAGACCCTTCTCAACAAAGGCCCGGGGAGCACTGCAAATCACTTCCTGTAGCGCACACACGCGCACACACACACACACACACGCACACACAAGAAAGAAAGAAAGAAAAAGAAAGAAAGAAAAAAAGAAAAAAAATACATACACCCACTGACAGCACACTAGAGCCAATCAATTCTCAAACTGCCTTTTCTACCTTCCCAGAGATTTCCTTCCAACCTTTGGTTGCTCGCCTCCCCATCCCCCCGACTCAGCATCTGTGCCAGAGGTCAGTCCAGTCCCTTCGGACGGTCAGATGAACTTTCTGAAACCCCTTCCTCTGTGCTAGAGCTTCCTGTCCCCCGCTCAGCCCTCCGTGGGAGCCCCTAAGTGTCTCACAGCCATGCGTTAAAATGTGACGGAGGCTTTTTAAGAATAAGATCTTCAGCGGATCCTCATGAATTCTGATTTGGAAAGCAGCAGAAATTGGTAAATAGTCAAAAAAAAAGGAAAAAAGAAAAGAAAGAACAGAAAAGAAAAGAATATTTACTCCCAGGTGAACATAAAATACCAATTTCCTGGGTTTTTCTATTTTTTTTTTCAAGGCAAAAGAGCAGCCATGACAAGTGTCTTTGTGGCAATGCAGTTCCTCCAAAAATAAATAAATAAATAAATAAATAAATAAATAAATAAATAAATAAAAAAAAAGAAGAAGAAGAAGAAAGAAAGAAAGATCTGCACAGAGCCAGTGAGGATGTGTTCCCTGCTAAGGACAACAGTCTTCCTCAGTCGGGGTTAGGTTGAAAACCTACTTCCAAAAAAGAAGAGGACTTCTCTGAGGAATGGCAGCCGGCTCCAGAAATCCATTCCAAAAAGGGGGCTGGGCTTGAAGCTTTATCCCAACTGAATGTGCTCAAGGTCTGGAAAAATGCCTACCAAACGTTACAAATACATTTCAGTGTCCCTTCTGTTGCCGCTTTTCAACCCTGCATTAAGGAGGAAAAACATGCAGCTGCTCTGGTTACACAGCAGATCCGTTTCAGGAGTCAGACTCGGCTGCAGGGGACGGGTGCAGGCCTCCTTCCTCTCAGCGAGGGGAACGGGCGTTGGCGGCCCCCAGAAGGTCAGCGGAGACTCAAACCCGTTGAGCCCTGGCACCGCGGGCAGTGCATAGAGATAACCCACCTGACACAGAGAAACCTCCCTGTGCAAATGGCCAGGCAACTCTGTGCAAGCAAATGAATTTACCTCTAGCACCCTGCCTTCTCCCACCCACGACTAGGCATGTGCCCCAAGGGGCACCGAGCCCAGCGGAGTTTTACGGGCCAAGTGCCCTGAGGGTGGCTCCTGGCTGGCAGGTGAGGCCGGCCGCCCGGATGCAGGAGCGCAGGGCCGGAGCAGCCCTCCCTGGGTGCAGGCACTCATTCTCGCCTTTCCCCTTGCTCGCTTAGCAACAGCAAGTGCACACCCCATCGACGATGGTGATGGAGAGCGGAACTCCCCCCAAATCTGAAGCAAAAATGCCCTATCATTCCCAAACCCCGCTCTTCATTAGAAGCAGACAAAAACAGCAAAATGTGAATGAGAGCCTGTTTGTGTGAATGGAAGGGCTAGCAGCGAGCCAGAGATTCTGTGAATGAAGCCGGGCCCTGCAAGCTGGTGCCAGGCAATCCCCTGGCTCCAGCGGCCTCAGCCAATGAGCAGCCGCCCCGATGACTCATTGAAGAAGGCTTGCTCAATAGTGGAAGATTCCATTTCAATCAAAGGCGGGATCTTTATTCCAACGGCAGTGTGGGAAAAAAAAAAAAAAAGCCAGCCTGATTACAAAATGCAAGGAGGAAGGCACCGCTGTCATGGAGAGCGGAAAAACTAGTTTTTCAAGAAAATTCAAGAACCGTTGGTCAGCTCCCAGTGTGAACAGGACAGCTTCTGTTGGAGGTGAGCTGTGCCCCAAAACTTTCATTCAGCAGTTCATTTACAAGCAAGAAGCAGCCATGAATGTGCCATTTGGTTCAGCATTTATCATGAATGTACAGCAAACGCACATTCAAGCCCTAGGCATCTCGCCCTTGATTCTTTTTGTGAAAGGATCATCAAAGATGCGTGCAAGTTCTGGGTCTCCAAGGAGGAAAAAAAAAAAAATTCAAGCTCCACAGTTAACCCTTTAGCCAACAGGAGATTTTTTATTCCTCTTATTATCATGAGCCAAGTGGAGGGAAATTGGCCATCTTAAACTATCACAGTAATATAAATGTACTGCATGGGAGAAGATCTGTAATTAAAGAAATCTGTAAGCCCAGCAGGAAACCCACGCCCTCCCTCCCAGGTCATGCCCGGGGCCCTCACCCAGGGCCGGTCTTGCTGAGTTTAGGCACTCTCAGACTGTAATGGTGTAGAGATCAATGCCTGATGAGATTTTCGTAGTCTGGTAGCACAGAAGGAAAGCGAAAGAAGGAAACCACTATAAAATCGAGCTTCAGACTCAAGAATGCCTGGGGTCATTGACAGTAGCTTTTCCAGAATAGTGTGGTTTCCAGAATACTGTGGTTTCCCTTTTTAAATCTATTAACTTAAAAGTGTTGGTTTCCTATTGATGTCATAATCCCATGATTAGTGGTTTAAAATGACCCAACTGTGTTATCTGCCAATGTTGCAGGCACAAGTCTGGCATGGGTCACCCAGGGATAGAGTCCAGGGTGGGTGCAGCGAGTTCCTTCTGGAGTTTCTGGGGGAGAACCCTTCTCCTCGCCTTTTCCTCCTTCTAGAGGCTACTGCCTCGAGTGCCTGAAGATGGGCCCTGGGGCCGGTGGCTTTGCTCCCGAGAAGGTTTCGTTCTACCCTGAGAAGCAGAAAATCTGACATTTTCACAATAACCCAGTATGTTACGCAACAATTTAAATATATGTGGGATACAAAACCCTGCACAGGGGAGTCTACTGACCTTGGCCTAAGGATGTCAGGGGTGACGTCAGCAGGGGTGACTCCGAAGCAGAGTTTTGAGGGATTTCTGGGATCTTCCAGTTACATGGAGGTGAAGAGACACCTCAGGAAGAGGGGTTATGTGAGGAGCAGCCCAAGGCTTGCACGACTCATTGTTTCCAGAGCCCCGTGTAGATGGTTGGGTGGGGGCAATATTGGGAGGCCAGGTCATTAAGACAGCTGGACATGGAGGGTGTCTCCCTCGCGATGCGGGATTTGAGACTGCATAGTATGGGCAGGTTTGTATTTTATGTGGACGCCTTGAACAGTAACATGGGGTGTTCTGGGGAGTTGAGAGGGTAGCAGATAACAGTACAAGTGAAACATGATGGGGTCTTGAAGGAAGGCAAGGGCAGTGGGCTGGAAAGGAGGGGGTGGGCTCAAGATATGGTGAGAAGGTTAAATGATCTACATGTCAAGGGTGGATGAGAGCAAGTGAGCAGGTCGGCTTGTCGGGAGGCAGAGCTGAGATAGAGTTTGGGGTGCCAGATGCCCCGTGGTGAGCAGGGAAGGCCATAGGATTGGGCAGAGGGAGAGGTGGGCCTGCAGAGCTCCCTCCTGGCTTCCTGGATCCTCACTCGTCCTCACTCAGCATCTCCCAGAGTGTGGTCCTACAACCAAGCCCCTCTGTAGCTGAGCTCCTGAGGGAGGGGACCCTGGAGACCCCCACACCCCTGCAGCGGGGAGGAGGACTGCTGTGGAGGAGCCTGGGCAGGGTCCTCTGCAGCCCCCAGGGAGAGGGATGCAGAACAAAGGCCATGCTTCTGACTGGACGGTGAGGCTGAGTGAGTCTCATCTGTTGGGACGCAGAGCGCAGGTGGAGGAAGGAAGGTGAGGGCTGGGTTCTGGGTGTGTGGGAGTGGTGGCATGTCCGTGGAGAGCCACTCAACGCTGAGGAGTGGACCCTGAAGGTTGTTGGAGTGCAGGTGATGCTGAGCTCTTCGGTGACTGATGCACATTTAGGAAGGAAGAGGGATGAGAAGGAATCCCAAGGAAATGCCAGGCGTCCAGGATGGGAGCTGAGAAAAAATGACCAGGAGCTGGAGACACATGTGGAAGCCTGGTTGGATGGACCCCCGGTGTCTTAGCTCGGCTGCTGTAACACAATGCTCTAGACCAGGCAGCTTTAACAGCATTTATTCCTCCCAGTTCTGGGGCCTGGAAGCCCAAGATCAAGGCTCCAGCAGACTGGGTGTCTGGAGAGGGTGCACTCCTGGTTCCTAGGGGATGTCTTCTCATGCATCCTCACATGTGGCTGATGGGGCCAGGGGGCTCTAGGGGGTCCTTTTATAAGGGCACTAATTCCATTCCTGGAGCTCCACCCTCAGGACCTACTCACCTGCCAAAGGCTCTGCCTGCAAGCACCATCACATTGGGGGCTAAGTTCCAACATATGAATTGGGGGGCCAGGGAACCCACCCTGGTTTCAAGAGAAGATCAGTAATGGTTAACATGAGCACCAGCAGCAATTGTAACTACTTGAAGCATCCCATGTTGAGCCGTGTACACCTGTCATGCCCTTCAGCTCCTGTGGCCTGTGAGATAGCACCTACACCCCATTCTGCACGGAGAGAACCTGGGGATCAGAGGCTTATGAAGTGAGCCAGGGCCACACAGGGTTAGGAACTGGCCAGGGTGCCTGACTCCAAATCCACATTTATGGCCAGAACCTCACCTAATTCAGAGAGCTTGAGTCAGGTGTATACTGAGAACCATGACACTTTAGCAAGGAGAATGGAGGGGCTATGACTTAGGTCACAGGATGGTGCCAACCACACAAGAGATGAGAAAATGGATGAAAAAAAATCATGCTTTCCAGAAGGCGAAGTGAAATGCACGGGAGGGTCTGAGG